GAGGGAACACCGACTGCCGACGCTTCAAAAAGCGATAAGGAGATCAAGCAACGCTTGCATTTTTACGAAACTTATCTTCTTCGATGCAACGATAGGCAGCAACAGTTATACGATCTGTACAATGCACGTCAAGAATATCTTTTCAACGGACTGAGGACAGCCTATCAGCCTTTACAGTAAGCTTTATTTTACAATGAAATTAAACGACAAGCAGGTATAGGGTTTCCTATTCGATCAATCCATTGTGTACTTTACATTCACGATAAATTCAATTGTAATAAAAGGGTGGCGAGGATGGTTGTGATGGGAGTGTAGGCATTTACACTGTATTTTGTGTAACAGACTCAGATGACGTAAAACAAAGGAACAACAACTATGATACAACACCAAGCAGATTGTCCCTGAACAGGAAACAAAGAAGTCTTTTGGACTACGTCATCAGAGTGCATGAAATTTTGACTGGAATTTGGAATCCATTAATATCTGGACAAAATGTCAATTCATTTGGTCAGGGAAAGTGTGCATTTGACTGTGGCAACCAGTCGTTTCAACAAGCTCATGCATGTTGAGAATTGAGAAACTGATCACCTTCAACATGATTTGTATGTGGACATTTCATACACTACAAATCCACTCTTGCATGGTATTTGTTTCTCGTGCATGTACACAAATAACTGTGAACACTTTCATAGATGATTTGGTACTCTTTACAGGGATAATTCAGTGCTAATGAGGGTACCGCATATTCCATAATCGTGGGTAATGATCACTTTCACAGTTCTCCTCAACTGCATCCTGTAATGACATCGCTACATGTAATTTCTATTTGACTGTAAGTGATTATGTTTGCACCTTACTGTTGCAAACAGTTAGTTGTCAATTGTGATTATGTACTACAACAAGTGCAAACACTCTTATTGCTGTAGTTCACTTAACAATAAATACTTTTTCTCCAATTACCAGCATTTACTTGTTATTTTCAATGCAGCATTATTTCCTACTATTTCATCCACTCACTACTAATCGGGATACTAATGACACACTTCACAAGTCATATTACACATGGCATGGGTCAGCTACATGTTCACCTGCAGTTATTCACTATCAGACCCATTTTTTTACTATAATAATATTATTACGGTAATAATTATTACACATGTAGCAGGGTCAAATTGGGTGAACATGGGACCCATGAAACATCAGCTACCCTTCCTTAACAACACCAACGGGGTTTAAATCCCAGAAAATCCTTTCTAACGACAGAGCACTGGGTTCAAATTTACTCCAACCAAAAGGAGATTAACTACATCTCACCTTCCAATATTAGAGCCAGTGTTGAAACCTGCCCTTCCACCCTACACAATTTACTCCAATTCTTTCCCCCCCATTCATCCCTGACATTTTATGGGCCTCCCCCCCACCCCCCGAGCTTCGCGAGGTTCTGTGGTACACGTATTTCTAGTTAAATTAAGTTAAATCAGCTTAGAAGATATGGGATATAATGCCATCTTCAAAAACCATTCATAGGCAATGCAAAGATCCCAAAATGCTCAACAACTGTATAGTGCTACTGCGGTCAGGAAAATTTAGTGGCAACCGTCTCTTAATGAATGATGCCTGGAATGTCTAGCATGCACAATGGTCGTTATTGGGGCGCTCATTCGGGTTTTGGATGTCAAATGCTTTGCGCTTGCGCACCCAAACCCACCGACTGCCCCAAATAACTCTTAAGCACTGATCATGACCTCCTCAACATTGGCTGATCAGTCCTCTAATTGTGGTGTGGTAGAGGTAGTAGACTACACAGACAATTGCTGAGGCCAGTTAGATTTCTAGACATGAGTCGGTTGACTTGGTTTTCAGAGCACCTGTCAAGAGTGTAGGGGTGGGTGGAAGATTTTGCTTCCTCTGCATTCTATTCTATTTTGTTTATTTATTTATTTATTTATTTATTTGTTTGTTTGTAGTTCGCTCTGTCAGTTCAATGCATCTCTTTGCCCCCTTTGACTTGCCCCAACACCTCGCCATGCAGAAATATTTGTGCACCCAGATAATTGCCCATAGTGTAGAGTGCAGGTTTCTCAATAAACAGAGATCAAACATTAATTTGATCAAAGTTGGAATTTTACTATGGCATACCATAGTCCCCTATGCAGCCAGCGTTATTTGTGTCGTCACGCAATCCTTCTCGTGACTTATCAGGCACTGGAGGATTCAATGCATGCTAAAGTGATATGCGTGAATATCGAATTCGTAAAATGAATACAACCCTTAACACAGCAAAAACAAACAAGCAACCAGTATATGATTTTAACTCTTAACTATCAAACGATTGTAATCTGTAATACAATTACTCACAATCATTTCACCTTCTACAGTAAAGCGCGAAGCGGCGCAAAGCGGCGCAAAGCGCAAAGAGTAACGGGTGAGAATTACAAATTTGGCAGCCATGAAATACAACATATACGTAGAAAACAAAGCACTAACCTTATTCCAGTCAGCCTATTTTTGATATTCCTGAATTTCCAAAGTGTTCAAGTTTGAGAACTATTCACCAAGATCGTTTCGTCTAAGGTGGTACATTATTAAACTTCTGCCATGTTGAAGCGATAAATGTCGCTGTCTTCTCTTGTACTCCGTATCCGCCAACACATTTATCTTTTTGCACATCTCTGGCAAAGAGAATAAAGCCTCGTGTGAGGCTAGAACGTAGAAACCTCCGAGTTTTCAGCGTCTGATACATGGATACGTCCGTATGCAAATTGCCGCCTCTTGTTTCTAGTATGTTTGCGTGACAGCAATCCCTTGGGGTGTACCGCTGCTCATCGAGGAAATCTTGCCCACTGATATTTTTTGGTTTAATTGTAGACCAGCAAGTTACAATGATTTCTATCCTTCCATTTTGTTACACGTTGCTTTTTATTACAGTCTATGTGATATTCTATTCGTAACAATCAATCGTCCCTTGTACTTTGGTCACTTTGTAATACTGAATAACTTTATCGAAATTTAATCAAATTGACGAAATTAAACCCTACGGTTGAAAACAAATATAACTTTTAAGCTAGGACATGAGAGTTTCATTCGAGTATTCAGGACCATTATTAAGTGATATTGTTTCAGTTTCATAGCAGTTGGCTTTGTCGGCTTTGGGTGACGGATATAAGTAGTGTACTAAGTAGAGGGGCCCCGATTCCTTCGACCCCCCGGATCCGCCATTGGGGTTCGTTGATAAAGTTGGAAACAGAGCGAAGGAAAGGGGAGAAGGATGAAGGGGATAGAGAAAAAAGGAAAACTTTCTCGTTCCTGTTCTCCCCTCCCCTCCCTCCTCTTGTTTGTTTGTTTGTTTGTTTGTTTTGTCCACTTTCGCAACGATCTCACGCGGAGATCAGAAACTTGCTACCGGAAACAGAATTAAAATCCCGGAAACCTTTCAGGGCGTGGCTTGGGCTCTGATTTACCCCTATTAAAAGAGACCTTATTAGACAATTATCACTAGATTCGATGCCACTGGTTCCAGGGCTTGTCAGAACAAAGGGTATGTGGTAATTAAGCTTGCTTTAAACTACGTGAAAGATGTTGAAATTCAGGCACAGTATGACGTTCGTTAATTTTATTTGTATACTGATTTCTTTACGCACAAACCATAAGCGACATATACGGTCTCTGTATCGGGGTTAAGGAGATCAGCGGCACCTCGACACCCCCGGAAGAAAATGTATTTTTGCGGGTGACTTAATCCCGCGCGTGCCAATCACACACGAATCAACGAAACCTGACTTTGGTTTCTAAATACTTTTACTCCCAAATCACTGTATTGAAGGAATTAGGAAGTACTAAAAACATGACGTCAAAACACCTCACGGAAAGGAAAACCGACTTCAAAACTGACTGTTAGCACATGCTCGCAGATCGCTGTGGGCTTTGTTCTCTTCTACTGATCTGATCGAAGTTGCGCAAGAAAACGTCATGTTAAATTAACAGAATTTAATTACGTAATGATAGAGTATCGAAAAACATGTCAACATCACAGCACTAAATTGTGATATCTTTCGCGTTTGTAGGCCCTCAATCCGACTGAACGTCATATTTTTAAAACTTGTTACTGAGAGAAAACCGTTTTGAACTCCTTATGATTTCACTTTTAGAAGCGAAGGTAACACCCCCCTGGGGACACTCCCTCATTTGGCCTAAACGGGTATGTGCCGCTGCTCAGGGTATGGTTTACAGGCTCTGGAGTCTTAAATAGACTATACAATTTGACCATTTTGGCTAGAGAGATCAATTTGTTGAAGCGCTGCACCAGTATCGCAATTCTTGTTTTAAGCAGGGTACGGGCTTGGAGGGCCTAGGCGGCACTGCGCACTTCTACCCAAACTCCCGTTGTAGACTCCCCTCCCTCTCCCAGGCGTAACACCGCACTAACATGAGTAAACGGCGCTAAACGTGCGAGTAAAATATCACCAAAACTTAACAGTTCCACTCTGAGATAGCTGAGGGTTTTATATGAGTTTCACTTTCGATTATTATACTTAAAATTATCTGAGGATTAGGTAAAGAAAAGCAAATGCAAAGACTTTGACAATCATTTCCCGGGGGGACTCCGCATATGAAAGGGGTGGGGATGCTAGTCGTCTTGCATAGGGGTGTAAATTTCGGATTTTGGTCTCACTTAAGGTGAGCCATCATATTTAGCCGTGAAGGTCTCGTTTAGGGTTGCACGCGAAAAAATATAAAAATATACATTTTGTCTGTGTTTTAACATGGTCTCTTTTACGGTTCAAAAGAAGCTTGGGCCACGCCCAGATCGGTCTCCTTTAGGGGATTAATTCAAAATTTCCGACGAGCATCCCCACCCCTTTCATATGCGGAGTCACCCCCCCGGGTAACTGACCAGTCAGGGCATGAAAAGTCATTAGTTCACCTATTCAACCCAATACCGCATCGCTGCATGGGGTTAATTAGTCAGCGGTTTCAAGATGAATAACCAGCTTTTATCACACGTCGGTTCATTTGCGTCCAAGCTTCATTGGGTCACATTGCACATAGAAACCGGCAAAGAAGAAGGAAAGCTATTTTCACGTTAAAACACAGGTTAGAGTGCTATTATTTTCGATTCTCAGTGATGGAGTTTGTTGAGCATCGAAGTGTTGACTTCTTTGTGAGATATTTCTCACTGCTTTAAGTATTCCGTTTTCGCCAGCTGTACTCTTTTTATGGGTTTTATAGCTCATTTGCGGACTAAATTAAACTAAATTAAACCGTATTGGAGAATACCCCTTTTGGATAGCTTATGGTATAACTTCAAAAATTAGATGCTAACAAAATGCTTTCTTGTCAGATTTGCTATATGGCGGCGATTGCGGTATTCCTGCTTTGTTTATAATACAAACTAATCGGTGCCTGCTTGTGTGGTTAATCAGCTGTTTTTTCTTATTAAAAGGAAACAAGTTCTTGTCAAATGCTAAGGGCCGCTTATTGACTTTCTAAATACCATGATAGTGCTGGCCCACGCCTTTACTTTACGTGCGCGGTGAAATTTAAACACCCGTTTTAGAATCTCCATTTCGCATTAACAGAACAGTTATATTTGACTTACACACCCCAGCAACACCCCTAAATAAGACTGTTATCATTGAAAGACTTCGCTCGCATTAGCAATTGCGTTGGTAGCAACTTTGCCTTTTTTTTTCAATTGTGCACATTTACACGCATACAGTATTTCTCGAACACTCTGGATTTTGTCACTGCCGACCTTGGCAATGGACATCACGGTGAGTGTTCAGGACTGTATTTGTAAAGACACCTGAGTTAAACGCCACAGACTTAACGCATTTTCGCATTGGCATCCGGCTGTAAAAAAGGTGAATGATTTTCAGCAGCATAATGAACTCGGTTTATAAAATGCAACTACTGTGTCCTGAGAAGACAAACCGGACAAAAGCTTTTATGACCGTTGGACTGTATTTTTCATTTCGCTTTTCGTTTGATCATAAGACATCAAACATGATCGAAGGAAGATGGAATAGGTGGTTTTCACGTTACGTCATCGCCGCCATGCTGGTGGACGGTAAACAAAAGATCGCTCATTAGCTCGCTTTGTTTGTCCACCAGCATTTGTTCATTTCACCATTGTTATTTGTGTCTCTCGAGATTGCATGAAAACCACCTATAATTACTTCAGTCTGGTACATGTCTTTCATTATTCTCGCCCTTTCACTCAAATGCACGTATTCAAAGCCAATCTTGCTTAGGTCACGTTTTATATCGTGTGGAAACCTTGTAAAACCGACGAACTTTGGAAACATTCATCACGAATGTCTGAGAAGATACAAGTTCATTTTACGTCAAAAGGACGGCTTTTGAAATTTGTTTTCAAAGAAAAATTTTACACACAGAAAATAAATTTATAGTAATTATGGGTTGAAATTGTAAAGAATCTTGATGTTACTGGTTTACGTGATTACTTTCTATCTTTGTTATATCGGATTATTCAAGTGTATTTATTAGCAAAGCATATAAGTTAATTTTGGGTGACAAAACAATGCGCTGACCTTCTAACACGTGTAATTTGTCTGAGCATTCTAACATTTTTTTAGCCGTCTGGAGGTCATTATCACTTTCGGTTTCTTCAGTCAAGCCCTGGGTTTGTCCAAAAGAATAAAAAGAGGGGTAGCAAGTTGATTCATTAAAGTGGAACACCTTGGAATAAAGAATTTGCAAAGAACTGGATTTTTAACGTTTTTATAATAGGGGTACGTTCTATCGACGTCCTCTTTCGAACATATATACAATATTCAGTTTGGGAGATACTATTGCCATGCAATACCTACTGTTTTAATGAGTAGTAGATTGCTATTCTAATTTTTAAGGAGCGAAAAGAACAAGAAAACAAAATTCTGGGTGAAGTTATCCAGTTGTCTAAACGAATTATCGATCACTTAAGCGCCCCTAGGCACCCCAAAGAGACGACGAAAAGTTGAATTTATTTTTGGCCTTTTCTTCAATTGTCTTAATTTTGGGGTTTCCATAGCATGGAAATGTCACAAAAGAATTTGCTTTAGGGCCTTACAATAATCTGACGAACATCTCATCTATTTTCTCCCAACACAATCAATACATCATTAATGAAAAAGATTATGAGAACTTATAAAATAATCACCAAAGCTAGTTATTAATGTTTTGATCTTTTATCAAATTCTCTCAAGTAATTCTTTAGCAGAATGTATGGATATCGGTCTGGAGAATTTGTTAGTGGATATCGGGCCTTAAAGACCTTGAAGCAGGTCTAAAGGATGGAATCGCCTTCTAGTCTCCTTCCCTTTTGTTAAAAAGGTGATAATTATGATATCTAAATGCTCGGTCGGGACAGTAGCTTCTAATCCTTTCATTATCGCAGTATCGGATGAAGCATTAGAGTATCGGAGAAATGAAGGTGGGTGAAAGATGCCAAATATACGGATGGCTGACGCCCTCCAGCAAAGTAGACCAGACACGATTTCTGAACTCTCCCTTGTAAATTGTAAAAAAAAATTGTAAATTGCGTTTTTACCCAAGGAAATAGGAGACGTCTGCACGCAGGCAATTACCCACGAAGCACTTAAGAGTTCATATGAACTGGTTTAAAGGTGTCCGTGCGTTCCAGATCGAATTGGATTTTAGAAGTGTTGGTTTTTGAGGAGAGAGGAAAACCAGAGTACCCAGAGAAAAACCTCTCTGAGCAAGGGAGAGAACCAACAACAAACTTGCCGACTATCGTCCTCTACGCTTTTAAGAAAAAAAGAGCAACAACATTAACGACAACGCACAATGACTCTTTATTTCAATCACAGGTTTAGGCCGTAGTCTCTGATCTTTGATGCCCCTAAATAGCTAGGTCAGTCAATTTTAGCAATCCTATCACTTGAAATTGAGAAATTAATTAACAACACAACAGAAAACTGGCGTCTGGGTGGGCAAAATAAAATGGATCAGATTAAAGCGAAATGCTTTTATGTAAAGTCGAAAGAGTCTGCCACCGCCTTTTGAAATGCATCTCTGTTCGCGAGAAAAGAATATTGAATGACTGATCAGAAATAACATCATTTCCAGTTGAAGGGCTTAAAGTGAATTTCAGCCACACAGGTACAAACATTGTTATCCCTTAAAGCCATTACGAACTGAAAGCGCTCGTTTTTCCACTTTTCTAATGACACTGTGGTACATATTGTAATAATAAAAAAGTAATCTATCTCATTGTATTCAGTTTTGTGTAATGCAAAGTCGGATCTAATAAATAAACCCGAGACTTTGAACTCCACTCTTGAGGCTAACCTCACGCGAATGCTTCATAATGGTTATTTAGTCTGACTAAAACATCTTCCTTCAGTCTTATAACCAATCAACTAAACGAAGGGTAGTTGAAGGGGTGTAAAATTTATGAGTTTGATGGCTATTGCTTTAATGAGAAGTTTCTCTATTTTCAGCATCAAGGAAATCACCCTCAATTCCCCAGTTACTCACATTGTTCTTTTCAATTAAATCGTTCAAATCCCCTAGCATAGCCCCATGCAATTTCTTTCCCCATGCCCTGGAGCTAGCAGAGTATATTTAGAGACGATATTTTGTTTCTATGGAGAAAGTGGGGGTGGGGATTATGAGCTAAGCCACTAAACAGAGCGCCCTAAATAAGCTTAAGCTCCTTTTGGAGAGAGCTGTTTTAGCGTGCAGGAACAGCTATGGACTTGAGAACAAAGTTTTAAAATGAGTATCCGATAAGGTGTTACGTTGGAACTTCCTTTGGTTTGGTCGAAAACAAATGATGCGGAAAAACACCTGATTTTGAAATGAATGAGATATATTATTGGCTAATTGTACGACCCTACCAGTAAGTTTGAAGAGCTTCTCAGTCTCTTGGGATAGGGCGGCTAGACCAGACGTTTTGAACTTCAGTTTTCGTCGTATATTATTTGTATTGAGGACCGCCGGCAATTGTAAATACTTACAGAGTTTGCAAAGCATTACAATAGAACGGATATGTACGAGCACGTTTGTCAGAAATTCCTGTCGAGCTTATAACACACAAGTGAATAGTGTTTTTCGCGTGCACTGATTGAATAACTAAGAGGTTAATAGCAAAGTACTTTTCACCTCCGAGCTGCCGAGGAGAAACGATAGGAACTGCACTTTTTTCGCTAATTACAGAGTACCGGATCGGAGAAAATTGGAAGTAGTTCGTTTCGTTCTTATTTGATCACGTGAGTTAACATGTGAATGTGTGCGGTCATGATAGGCATTCCCAAGCTTGCATTTTACAAAAATAATTAACAATTTTTCCACGAGTGCACGTTGGATATGAATTGGCTATAATCATCTCATATCTTACAAGCGCGAGTGAAATAATTGTTTTATTAAAAACACGCACAAAATATCTAGAATTCTTCCCGACTTTATTTGTAAAAACAACCGATTTTCAGCTTGTCAGACGCGTACAGTTACAGTTACCATATCTGGAGAGCATGGTATAATAGCTCATTTACAATTATGGCTAAATCAATCAGATCTCTAGAGTTCCATTATCCAATGATTCAGTTTTTAATATTGCTAGTTATCCGCCTGTTATTCAGCTTTTGTGACATCTATTAAAACAGTTATTCACCTGAGTGTCTGTGAAATTGAAAGTGGTTAGTATTTACCTTGTCACTGTGTCACCCGGCCAAGATTGGTTTCAACTAGCGATTTAATTCTAGTTTCCCCGTGGACGATTATCACTGCACCACCGGCATCTGACACTCGTCGAGCATTTATGAAATACTACGACAATCAAGACACTTATACAGCAAACGAAACCACCAAAGGCATATAAAGTCATATTCATTGTTCAAAGAGTCATTAGAAATACCATACCGCTCGGGTAACTCTATCGTCTAAAGGTTTGCCTTCATCTTTGACCTCAATGACAAACTTGAAGCTAAAGGTTACGGCTTGCGAGAACGTTTTCATTATTTAACTATTTTATTAGTGGTTTATGAAGATAAGTTGGTCGTAATTCGCAGTCTGATTACCTGGTGGCTTTGCATCGTAGTTAGTGATACAATGTACGATAATCACCTGGAAATCAGGGGCACCCAGCGACTGTTCTGTGAAATATCTGTTCGGAGAAACAAAAATTGCCTAGAGTTTTTTACAACTTGAGGAGGGCTAAAAATTCTAGATGACCCTTCCATTCACGTACAATTTTCGAAGTCCCTACGATTTTCTGAAATCTAATTTTCCCATTTCACTCCCCAGGTTAGGCTTTTTTTTTTTTTTTATAGAGAAAGGAAACCTAAAATTTTCGGAATCGAAAATGCCATGCAGAGAGGAATCAGAAAAAACTATCACTTTAGTAAAACTTTAAATTGCAGCTAAAATTTTCGGGAAAATAATACTGAAGCCCTTGTAATTTCGAAAAGACTCAAGTTACCCTAGGATGACCCGTAAATTTCTTAACGCCACTTAGAGTACATTTCTAGAGATCTAAAAGTACTCTGGATAGCCTAAAAAGTGTTTTCAGAGCATTGAGGGGGAAACCGTCGTTGGATGCCCCTGGGAAATTCTGTGCCCTTACTTTCATTTATTTAGTCCCTCTTGCCAACTTAATAATCCCGATTCACCGTCAATTTCAAGGATTTGTTGCTTTACCAAATATTGATCTTGGATACAGTCGAAGGAAAATTCTCAACATTCATGTTTAGAATTTCACAAATTTCCGGCCTACTAAGCTGTTGCCGACAAATAATAAATAACTGTTAAAATCTGCTTTGTTGCTTAATACGTATAGGTTTTCAGTCCTTTCGAAGGTAAAAAGCCGCCAGCACTTGTTCAAAACCTCATCCACGCCTTCTTAGTGGGAGCTTGATAACCAGTTTCTTTGCTCCAGGAGAGCCGGTAGCAGCATCCGTCATATAGATGGTCAGTGAGTGAGGTGAAAATTAACGAACTAACGGCCTCATGCAAAACACTCAGTAGATTTCCTTTGCAGAGATTACCCTGGATTAATCATTTATATCCTGATCTTATTATGCATCCACGGGCTGTATACGTTACAGAAGTTTGGGCAGTTAAAGCAATTATTTTAGGGCGAGTCGTGTTTTAAGCTTTAGAGGGAAGATCGTAAAAGGGCAACTCCACCCGAACATAGGTGTGACGCACGGCCTCGTCATCAAGTAAGATTGTGGTCGTCAAATCCGATCAGTTTTTTGGACTTTCATTAGCTTTGCTTCTCACTTACGTCCAGATAATTTCAAGACGGACCAAAGAATATCTCATTGGCAATATCTTTAAAATAAATTGTTGACTGATGAAAAATAATTGATCATAATTGATCTAGAGAGAGCAAACAAATAAAGGTTAAATAAATGTGAAATAACTAAGCTGATATGGCAGTCCTTTGTGCAACTGCTTGGAACTGTCCACAAAATATCGATGCCTTTTAAAAATCCATCATCCTCTACTTTCTAGCCAACATTTGTTTTTGTATCCAAACCAGTGTCGGGAGGTGGGGTTTGGATGACACATTTTATAAAGATGCTCATCTCACTACCACGAGAGACCTGTAATTAGAGAATTACCTTTGAGCGAAGTGTCTAGAAAATGATGATCGTCACGCTGCAGTTTAATTTAGGATTCCAAGAGAAAATATCGTCAAGTTTTAAACTATAAAAGCAAAACATATAAAATATTGTATTTTATTCGACGATACATTAAGAATCTGTGAGAATGAAAACTTTAGTAACTCCCCACGGGCCTTTTAAAAATCCATTTCCTCTGACTTCAAAGCGGCTACTTACGAAGACAGCGTTCTAAACGCATTTCCGGTTTTTGAAAGAGTTTTGGTTGGATCAATTTTAAACAATTGACACCCCCACCGAGAATAGGCCTTTAAAAGGTCGAAAGACTTCTACATTGCCATTGCGAGCTTTTCGGTCAATCCTACATTTGGTCAATATTACAACCTTGAAATTCAGTGTTACTTACCTCGAGAAAAGGATTGAGACAAAAATAACTTCGTGAAGGTAACATATTTATGTTCTAAATTAATGGCTCGTATATTTTCCAACTTTGACTAAATTTGGAGTAGCACTTATTTTGTTTTTATGTTCTGAGCTACGCAGTGGTAAATTGTAAAGTGTCATGTCTTCTTCCCGAAGATTATACAGACATTTTACAGTTTGACAGGCAGCTGTAAAGGACAGAGTGATTACGAAGCAAAATAACTTAATTGAAGCACCAATCTTGTTAAACAAGTCTTTCCAATCAATTGTGAGGGTAGCTGATAGGACGGCTTTTCTTAGTAACATTGATTGCGTTTTAAGAGTTTTGTTGATGCAGCTATACTTGGCTTTAACGCCTTCTACTTACGCTATTAGCTCTTAATTCCTCGTTTGGCAGATTATTCACGTTTACAGGAAGAATTTCCTTGCTTATCTCCTTCTCTGTTTATTTTTATACAGTGAATATCAAAGACATAAACATGACGACTTCAAGAAGTAACTGGATGAAACTTCTCAGCATGATGTTGGTAGTTTTACTCTTGCTTGATGCTATAAATGCCAGGGTATGTAAACAGGTCAACTTTTTAGTTTGATGGTTTTAGCGATGTGGCGTGTCATTGCCTGTGGTCCAATGACGATATTAAAGAAAAGCTCATCTCCTTCTTAGACAGGAATATAATATCGCTAAGCAGGTTAATGGTTGCTAAATTATCGGAATATGACATACACGGATTGGGCGAATCTGATCCCTTCCGAACTGCTGGTCGTTTTACACCAAACCGGAACAAAGAGACCTCCAAGAGCATGAACCAGTGATTGGATAAAAAATGAAAATGTGCACGGCTGAAATAGAATTAAATAAAAAGGTAGAAATTGTGGTAGTCTGTTATGTCTTCTCGTGGCAGTCCAGGTCTAACTTACAAGCAATTACTTGTCTCAATCTGAAATTCCTGTTAAATGCAAGTACCTTGAAAACTACAAAAACTGAAATTGTTTTAAGACCCGAAAACAAAGTTCAGAATAAGAACTAACAAAAACTTCTCAACAGCAACTCATTTTAGTGCGAAGAGAAATACCAAATATGCACAAAAATCGACACATTGGAAGAAAATGGAAATTGCTTGTTATATCTGCCTAATACTAAGTAAATTGTGGATACTACATTTAGATTTGGCTTGATTTTCGCAAAATAATGAACTGTCTTTTTTGCTGGGGTTTGTTTTTGTCACTGGCCAAGTGTTAGGAACTTGGAAAATTTCCCTTGGGAAGCGAAAGGGCTCTTTCACGTTTTTCACTTAGACCCTTCAAAGTCGGAAAGAACGAATCGCTCACTTTTAGGCCACACATACACTCGTATAAATTATATAACAGAACCCAGTCGCATGTGACTCAGCTTAACGATAAAATCACCTAGTCTGCTTAGGTTATTTTAGCTGCATTTAAAAGTCGTATATAATCAGATTGACTGAATTTCGATAACAATGATCTGACAACTATGTCAGTTCTTGCACTATTCTAACTGCTACTTTTTTCGCTTTTCTTGTCTTAAGCAAAAAATTTAATCTATAGCTAAATTTCCGGAACTCTTTTCCTATTCATTTTGTACTCTACAAGGTCATATCGAGAAAAAAAAGCTCTGGCGCCAAAAAAAAAAATAGATAATTAACAAGGACACTAAATTTTCAGACGGTGAGCATAAGGGCATCAAGAGATCGGCCACATGAATTCATGCACGTACTCAGATAAAACCAAGTGACTGTTAACATACTGTATAACGTTTCTCAATTAATATTTGGCGTGGAAATACCAACACGTTCTAGTCTTTTACAGTTCAGTCAATGTAGACAGTCTAAGCAAAATTCCTTTGTCATTACCGGGTGGTTAACGGTACCATTTGTTTAATCCATGTATTAATACAGTTTGTGCTACAACCTGATTACGACAGGAAACAACCTTACTGAAAAGATATACATGTAGATCATAGATAATTATCTGATAAGATCCTCATATAAGACTTCATGGTTCCATAGAAATGTTTTGTTTAACTTGTGAGGAGTTTTCGCATTAAGGATCCCACTTTCGCTAGTTCAGTGTCACATGAAAAATTTTTCTCAGTGGTATTAACGTACTCAAGGGGGATCAGTTTTCGAAACCCGCGGAAGAGTCAAAAAGGATACTTCATTTTATTCAGAGGCACCCGCGCCGCAATGTTCAAAAACGAATGGTTTACGTTGCCGCCGGTTTGAAGGAAAAGAGACTGAAGGGAATGTTGCCAAAACGTGACTAGACTTGAAAGAAATATTATCTTTTCAACACTTTTTTCAATTGAATCTCTCAGTTCTCTCTCCATATCATAGACATTGTAATTAAGTTTCCTAGAAACAAAGGAGGGCGTGAAAATTGGCAGAAAGAAAAGAAATTCTAAATAGCTATTTTTTTTTAAGTCGTTTTAACTAAATGGTTCTTTTCTTTTAACAGTGCAAGGGTGACACAGTTTATAGTATAGTAACTACAGTAGTACTTTCTCTCAGAGAATGGTTCAATCTTTTATTAAACTTAACTTTGACATTTCACATGTTAGTTTCTAACTACTTTAGCAATTTACTCTTTGGCAGCATTGTTTGAACGGCATATGTTTACACAGTTCCAATAATCTCATTTTCATTCATCTAACTACATCCGGTAAGGAAAATGATGACGATAGTTGATCATATTAAAGATTAAACAAAGTAGGTGGTGATTTGTCACTTTTAAGTGCATTCCGTTTGGCTTTTCCTTTCCTTGGTGGTTTGGTCCTAGCCTTTTCAATTCTCCTAACCAGGCAATATCACTGTAACTCATTTATTCAGCCGGCTTTCTTTGTCAATACACCCCATTGTTTACCTGTCATTACTACTTCGCGGATTATCTGTTCAGTACTTCGCGCATGCACAGTTATCAAGGATTAACACCTTGTTGCTTTGCCCCCAGGAAATATTTCCCTTGCACGATATGACTTTCGGCTACGGCTTCATGAGTTATCATGCTTCACTGGTTTTGCTTGTCGTTGTAACCGGCTTTTGTGGCGAAATAGTATATACAAACATCGATGACCTGACCACTACTGCGTCACAACTAATGTCCTTCAGTAGTCCTTGCAAAAGTTGTATATGTTTTCATTATTGAGAAGAGCTGTAAGTTTCGTGACCTTGTGAAATTTTCCTCATGGATATCCGTAAAGTCGAAATGGAAACATTCCATGTGTAATTGTATAAACTGGAAGCTTTCGGATATGGGCTCTTCCTATCCACAACAAACAAATAAACCTCAAAAAAAACCTCAAAGGAAATGCCGGGCAAAGTAACGACCACAGTAAATAAATATAACGTAACTCGCATACCGGTTGTTTTATTTAGTGACTTACGAAAATTGCTCACAGCTTGCCTCTGTGCCGTGTCAGGCCGGATTTGTTACCGTTTTTTTTAAGATTGTCTCACAGATAGAGAGAGGAAAAATGGATCACCATTATATAACGCTGATTTAACTGAAGATTGCTCGAAAATGTTCCATGTACAGTCAACTCTCTCCCTTGGGACCGGCACTTTGTGTCCTTCTTAGATAGATGTCCATCTTATAGCGAGTCAACTAAAAGGAGTAGATAAAAACAGTGACCAATTTTAGGTGTCCATTTGTGCGAGGTGTCTTTTGGAGGTGTCCGTCAATAGAGAATTGACTGTATAACACAGGGGTACATTTCTAAACGCGTAATCAGTCAAGATATGAGATTCTCAAACTCATTAATAATTCATTAAGAAAATACAAAGGAAATTAATGTTTAATGAGTGTTTGGAAATCGGATGAAACACTGCTTAGTATTTGCATCCTTAATTTCTCCTTCAAAAATGATTTTGTTTGAGAAGAAATATCAAACATTCGACACAGTGTTTCATCACCAGATGAAACACTTCCAAGTTCGTCAAAAATACTCCGCTGCGCGTCGTTTTTTCAACTCTCTTCTCGGTGTTTCATCTGGTGATGAAACACTGCATCTCATGTTTGATATATTACATGAACTACGGGGTCATATCCCCAGGATCATGTTCCAGTTAAATTGTGTTGTGTTGTATTTACCGGCGTTTTAAGATTGCGTTACTCTGAATGGTAAAAGAGACCGCAGCTTAACTCCGTTTCGGCAAAGGGCGATTTGCAACGGAACAAAAAAATGAATGTTTTTCGAACAAAATAGACCGGTATACTAGATAATACTGAGTCGGTATGTAACGAAGAGAAGGGAAACCTTATTAGCCAATGTTTCAAAAAGATTCTTTCCAGCACCTTTAAGCAAGAATTCTGCTTATTTTGGTTTGATTTAAAATGGTGATTGTTTAAGTTCTAGAAATCGATACTATTTTTGCTTGAAAAGAATAATTTTTGTCCTGTATTTAAAGGTCAGGAGTAGTAAGTCCTACTCTAAAGCTATACCCTGAGGTATTTGTTCGTGTCTGGAATTTAGTACCTTTCTAGCATACCCGGGGGGGTACTGCCATATATGGGCTATATAGGTATGTGCCGCTGTGAAGGGTATGGTTTTCAAGCAGTTTACTCTAGGATAGGGTATATAAATCAGAGCGTTTAGGTCTAGAATAGGGTATCATTTTTCAGGAAACTGATCAGTTGGTTGAAGATTTTGTCTACACTAGGTACACAGCTACTCTAGGATAGGGGGATTTGGGGAGTTTACTCTAGTATAGGGTAGCAAAATTCAACTGAACTAGCTCTGGTAAAGGTTAAGGGTTCCAGGCTCCCAGCGGCACATCCCCACCCAGAAATTCCTAAAGAGCATACCACATAGAATAGCTGATGCCGTTAGTAAAGTCACCCTCTTCTTTTGTGACGTATCTTCGAGAGAACGGGGTATTACTTTTCTATGCCATGAGATTCTGAGCCGTGTACCGCTTTCCAAACCAGGTTACAAAGAACTTAATTTTACATAAATAATTGATCTAATCTCCGCCTCTCGTTAGTCGGGCAATCCTAGGGACCACGTTTCGCTATGGCTTCTCCTGAAAGACATCCTCTACCATTGTATTTATATCCTCTTTTTTTGTTGTTGTTTGTTTTAGTCCATTAAAAAGGCAAAAAAGAAAAGTAGAAGTCGCCCGAAACATTGTGGAGCCAAGGGCCATCCGTGCGAGCCTGGATCAAGAAAGGTAAATGCCTCTACGGATTGCTAAAAGAACGTATGAATGGATTACCTCAATTACTGAAAGGCTGGATATTTATCTTCAGTGTAATTATCAAAGTGGGTCACCTGCCATCTTCTACATTATTATAGCGCAATGGTTTTGAATTATTGTTTTCTGTACTCTATCCGTTCACAAAGCAGCCGGAGAACATTTGAAACCCCCTGGAAATTATAATCCTTAAGAAGTGAGGCCTTGCATCTTAGTCTCTGCTATGAAAAAGTGTGCTTTATTAGGTCGTGAATGAGGATCAGTTTGGAAGCTCGCGTGCCATATAATCGAAAAACGTTCACAGTTACCTCGTTTTTCTTACAGTTGTGTTCAAAAAGCTTCATATTGTGATTAGAACTTAAGAGGGTAGAGTTTGAATGGACATGAGAGGCGCTGGGGAGACCCCCGACACGCGTTCCAAAGAAGATGACAACTAGACTGTTCACAGTCCCCATTTTTCCGTGAGATCATCGAGATCGAGCGCATCTTACCTTTAATGGCGGCCATCTTGATTTTCAAATGTACCGAGACAGGTTAGACTCAAAATGGCTGCCATAAACGGTGAGACGCGCTCGATCTCGACGATCTCACGGAAAAAACAGAGGACTGTGAACAGTGTAGATGACAACCGTTATGTCAGAGTACAACCCGGAGAGGGTTACTCAACAAAGTTTCGTACGGGGAGGCTCCGCCCCGCGGTCCAATCCCTTATCCTTTTGTATACAGTTGTCAACAGTAAAGGTACCCCTCTTGTATACCTTCCATTGACAAATGGTACCCCTTTTACATACCTAGCGTAGAACTTTACATCCCTTTTCAATACTGGAAAATGCACTGTCTTTTATGAATAAATCACAAAATCAGGAAATGTCCTCGACTTTTTCAAAGCCATAAATTCTCCTGTTAGCCATTTTAGGTCTTTTAAAAGACTTAAATGACAGATGTCCCTACCCTTTTATATACTCCAACTAGCGAGATCCCTACCCTTTCATATACCTGAACCCTGAAAAGGTACTCCTTTCGGGCGGAGCCTCCCCGTATAGGACATTGTAGGGAGTACCTCCCCTCCCCCGGCCGGTATTTCAGAATAACACCCTGATAACAACCTTGTTAGCTTTGGGAGAATAAGAGTTTATTTGCCTAAACAATAACGGTTTATTTTTTTTTCTTGTCCATAGTTATGCTGTGCCGAAGGATACACCTGCAAAGTAATAAAAACTGTGATCAACCTGACGAAACATCAAGAGAAAATCACGAAGATAGGAGTCTGTAGACCTGTTCCTCCAGCTGGGAGCGGTGAAAGAGAAGTCGAAGAGCATCGCCCTACTGTGAAAGTCAAAACCCCTTCAAAGATTCCTCATCCAAGTCAGTCACTTCGGCTTTGAGGACAACTCGTCTGTGATAATCTTGATCTTGTTTTGGAAAGATTCATAGACCACCTCGACGAACCGCAAGGAGTGATATGAAAAGCTGGGCACATTGGACATGGCAAAGGATCGGTTGTATGATAAGAGACTTGCTTAGGCAAGAACAATAATCTTGACAAGTGCCTAAATTATAAATGAAACATACCAGGCGTTGTCGACCTCTATCGGCATTATTTATGTTTTAGGAATTATATTTATAATTTTTAGTAAGCGGCTAAGATAATACCTGAAACATTTTCCTAAGACAGTGTTTGCGAGAATATACACTCTGCTGGTTGTGACGCCAAGAAACAAATAATCATAAAACAAACCAATCATCGCAACGAAATGAAATGAAAAAGGATTTTACTGGGCGAGACTAGCAACAAAAGATTAGGGGTTTTGTTTTTCTTGGCTTTTAACTTAGCCTACCTGTGGTAAGGCAATCCATTTATTTAAGCTATTAGTTATATGGTACAAAGATTCTTTCGACTTAACATTACATACATTAGCTGGTTACACGAGGAGGTTATTATGGGCCAGCATTTCACACCTGTCCTTTTAGCGATGAAGCTCGTCCTCCTCTTGTCGCCGGACGATCCTCTACCATTTTGTTGAGAGTTTGTTAGTGTTTCGCTACCTTATCAGTTGTCGTTTTTTATCGCTTTGTCTAAGCTACGTTAGTAGCTGGGACAACAACAAACGAATCTGCTAAGGCCCAGGAAACGTTTAATCTCAGTTGGTTAGACAAAAAAAAGCAAAAAGCAACCAGCAGGAACCGGTAATTCTTGTTTGATGGGAGTTTATAAATTCCGCCGAAAAAAACAGGTTTCCACTAATAAGCCATGCGGAAAACACCACCACAGTTGGTGTCAGTGAAATTTTCTAATAGATTCTATTTAACGAACACACAGTACGGTTTCATTAAAAAAGTGAACTATTCGAAGCAGCGAATGACACCCAACAAAACAGTGAAAAGTTCGCTCAAAAACTCAGTAGTTAAAAGTGTTTCTTCAGTAACTTAGTTAAAATGCTAGTCTAGACTTTCATCAAGTTCTGACTGCATTTTATGTTTTAAATAGGCTTGTTGAATTGAACGTTCTGTGACACAACTTTAGTTTTACTGTGAGTGCAGTTTAACAGGTTTTATTTTAAAGTAACACTCAAGTGAATCTTATTTATAAGAAAATAAATAGCCCATATTGGGACTGGTGTGTTTTATACGAGGAAAATTACAGATCAGACGCGGTTATGAGATGGTTAAAATGCGCGGGCTTCCGTATTTAGTAAGTGTTATCGTGATATATGTTATTTTTGAAATATTAAAGAATTACAGTAACGTCTTGGAATAAATAACCCTTTTATTTATATTCTGTTTGTATTGGGATCGATTTAACCGACATTTGCGTAACTACGCTGAACCGACAACGAAATCTTTGTCCTACACCCCTGTTGAACCTCGTCATCTATAACTGCTGGATATAGCAAGTATAAGTTCAAAATACACTCAGGCTTCCCGTAAGCAATCGTTAAATATTGTGACATTTTAGATGGTGTTTTCTATTAATACATTATGTTGTCGTTTAAACCATTCTCGGCAGCGGAGGGTGCGGCGGTCGATATGTGTAATACAGTGAAAAGCCACGTATAAGAACCTAGATTTTAAGAACTTGTTAGGCTAAGACAGTGTCCATTTAGACCCCTTTTACAATGTCATAAGAACCTGTTTTACCCTACAATTTTGAAACAGGTTTTTATTTTAAGAAATTCAGTCAAACACTGAATAAACAAATTTAATAGAACAAGCTCTACCACTTAGTAAACTTCATAAATGGCTTTAACATGCTTGGATTAAAGGAATTCAGTTTCGTTATTATCACAATATTATGCACGCAATACCAAAAATGGGCTACACCCACCAATGACAAAGACCTTATTTATTTTTAAAGTAAGAACTTGTTTGAGAACCTGAGTAGCCTAATTTTCCAGTTAGCCCCATTATAAGAACCTTCTTAGCCGACCTTGGAAAAACTTAGGTTGTTATAGACGGCTGTTCACTGTATGTGTAGAGAACTAGGAAGAAGTAACATAGTCCACAGAAAGCAAAAGTTAACATAACACATCGAGAAAAGAAACAAAATAGGGAGATAATATGTTGAAAATTTTCTTTGCAAGATAATTATGTAGCTTATAGTTCAGCGGTGTAATAACACTATCACATCTTGTTTCAGGGGAGATATTTCCTAACTGTCTCTTGCTGTGAGCAACTTCCAGGTTAATCACCACTTTCGCAATGACCGTTATGGACTTTGTTTTGTGCTGTTCAATTTTCCGCCGGACCATTACTCTGGGCTCCTCACTTAATCTTGTAATCGGTGAAAACCGTTAGTGTTCCGTGGTCTTGGGTGGGTAGTCTGAAATAGACCGCAATTACCTGCTTAAATGGCTGCGATTAAACAAACTATGAGCGGAGCCTCTCTCAAGTAAAGAACATTAAAGATCGGAATTCCTTGAACACAATTATCATTTTTTCCGCTCACAAATTTGTATTACATCCAATAAATATTTACTTTCCGAGCTGAGTTTGAGCAGGTCATCCGGTTCAGAGATCCTGAAGTTCCGTCTACTAGATTCAACAATCCGACTTTACAAGAGCCACTTGTCGTGAAAGAGAGACTTTCTTCAAGACACGAAAATGGACGAAAACATCAACGAAATTAAGATAACTACAAAAATCAACCACTCTACCCTTGATCTAAAAACGCGTACCAATTCGTACCGAGACTTTTTTTGCGCTCGCTTTTATAGGGGTTACATTTCGGATGCTGTCTAGTTCAGTTTTTTAATACTACCAATTACATGTTCTTATTCGCAATGGAACTTATCCTTAGCACCGGAAAATACTTTCTTGCAAATGAAAAAATCACTGCGTTTTGAGCAGTCATTTTTAGGCACTCAATTTGGTGGCAATACGCCGAGTCTTTGTTGAATTCTGATAAATTTCGTGCCACAGCCCCTTTGGCTAGAGAACAACTCTTGAGTAAGAAGAAGCGGCAACGTGGCAGTTTCTAGCATCACCCGCTGATGTTTGCGGACATATTCAAAATTCTGCCAATCGATGTTTCGCCAAATTCAGAAAAACAACAAGAACAGTGTATATATGATATATATAGATATACAAAAATGGAAATTGCATGGCACGAGATCCAACGACTCATTCCAGCATATCCGGACCACAGGAAGCATGCCTTAGAGAATCAAATTTATCTTTTCCGATCCTAACAAATTAACTATCGATAACTTGGCCAGTTATCTATTATATTTAGTCATGCAACAGAAATTAGCTAAAGGAGCCTAACACACATTCCTTTTTTGCCAATGAGATGAGCTAGCATAAACTGTGAAAGTACCCTAACCCTAACCCTAACCAAAAGAACGACCATACAGATTGAGGATTAATATGATTTGCCAAAATACATGTTTCTCACATCCCTGTGATCACCATGCTGAAGAAAATTTTGGGAATTTCCCACAGCGGGACTGTGTTGTTATTTTTAATTTCTACGATCATAACAATCCGGCACCTGATAATAATCACCCCGCTGATGTTTGCGGACGTCCTTGGAAATGCCTTCCATGAATCCTAAAATAACTTTTCTCAAGAGTTCCTATCTGCCTAGTATCCGTAGCATTTGTTTCCTGGAGTGGAGAAATGCCAGAAAGCTATAAACAGTGATGCCCATGTTTGGCTCAAAGTGTTTGAAGTGTAGGGATTTAACTATTAGTATTGGGAAGCCACGGCAGAACTATAACCGCAGAACTCTCCAGTCAGCATCCACGATACGTACTGTTCTCAGTCGTAAATTTAAGACCTCCGGGGTCGATTATTTCTTTTCAAAATTGTTAATAATTTATAAAGAAAATACAAACGAAATTAATGATTAATGAGTGATTGGAAATCACATGAAAAACTGCTCATTTTTGCATCCTTAATTTCTCCTCCTAAATTCATTTTGTTTGTGAAGTAATGTCAAGCATTTGACACAGTGTTTCATCACCAGATGCAACACCTCGAAGTTCGTCAAAAATACTCCGCTGCGCGTCGTATTTTCAGCTTTTTTCTCAGTGTTTCATCTGGTGATGAAACACTGCGTCTGATGCTTGATATTTTACTTCAAATATACGCTCGTTGTATTCGAGATTTAATTCCCGCAATGTCTCTTCTGACCAACAATCTCTTCTGACGGTGACAAGTTCTCTTGGCTCTCCCGGCCAACTCTTCTTCTTTCTCGTTTGCCTCCAAAATTTCCTTCACCTGCACACACTTCAACCCATTCAAACGTCTCATAGGACACGAAATATCTTGCACAATAACGCTTCTTTATTTTAATAGTGGAACTCAACCTCGGTCTCAGGGTTCTCCCCTATACCCATTCCTACGGAGAGGAGAGAGAGACGGGTAGAGAGAACCTGGGAACAACGTTGAGTGGAACTCAGTGTTTTCAGTAAAGTTAGTAAGCCCTTTTTGTCCAGATAATGTCCAGTTAACTGAGGCTGTAATTCATTTGGTGGCCTACCTTTTTTCACCAGTCACTAGCCCCTTGTTCATTCCCCTAGACTTTGACACAAACGTCCTATCTCCCCGAGCTCAATACAGGAAAAAAATGAATTAATTATTTCAGCAATATACATTAGCAAAAAATGTACTCAAATTTGCTTGGTTTGCTGAAAATGGTCCTTAAAATTGCAAAAGTTGCCAGTAGTGGGAACCGCTTTTTGGATAGTTCATAATCCAGAGCAAGCAACTCCCATCCATACTCGGCCTATGTCACGACGTTAATTCAGCACAGACTGGTCAATTTTTAGATACATCAAACAGCACTCCCCCTCCCGAAAATGGAAGCTCTGCATCGTCTTTGAACTCGGTTTAAGATTAAGATTTCAAAAAGGAAAAACCGTAAACGTCATTAAAAGCTCAAAAATACCACCTTTAGGTCTCAAGGTTTTACATTGTTCTGACTGTGAGCTGTTTACAGAAGTTAAAAGGCATGAAAGTTTCTAAACTAGTTCAGTTCCCCCGTTTTTGATATATACCGCTGCAGAAGTATCATGTTTGGAACTGCTCGGTGAATGGAGTCATTTTTTTACGCGTTCAAGGAGAAGTTACACATCGAGAGGACTCACACTAGATTAGAAGGAGTTTCCGTTGAGAAATTGTTGATGTTGGGACATTTTCCGCGACCATTAAAAATGGAAATTGCCGGGTAGTGAACTTGCCTGGGTTCATTACGAACTTCCAAGACGATAGCGATCTGGACAAACTTTCGGTGAGTTCAAAACTTTATTATTTTGAACTGATAAAATACCTATTGCTTAATATTGCTCCAGGAGCCCGGAATTGGCTCCCGATTGATCATAAATCTATAGAAGTGTTTCAGTTGTTGCCATTTTTGCTGCGTGGAAGCACCGCTTCTCAATGTCCGCGACTTCTTGCGCTTTATTTTAAAACAGCACAGCAAAATGCGCTTCTTCAGTTTCTAACTTCAAAGTATATGACACACTTTGTTTTCCTAATTTGTTTTTTATTTTGTATCTAGGACCATTACCCTGCAATAAATAATTAGCCTTTTAATAGCTACGGTGAATAAAGTACCACATAGTGGTAATAATATAATACCAAGTGAGCTTGTACTCACTCGTTTTTTGCCCGACTGACATGCAGAACTGCAACATAACATTTTCTTTTGTTATCTCTAAGTGCCTTTATATTGAAATTATTTTATTAACTACGCTGACATAAGCAATCGTCGCAAATTTGATAATTGTCTTTCAAGAACCCAGGAAAATAAAACCTGATCGTCAGGGCTATCATAGCTGGATTTACTGATTCTATGATTAAAAACTGTGATATCTATTTACACGCACGCTTGTGAAGACTTAAACTAACTTATTACACTTTCTTAACCCGGGGCAGGGGAGGGGGGGGGGGGAGGTACTCCCTTATATAAGTCATAAAGGTATATATAAGCCACCCCAAAGGGGGTGGTTTTTGCTCCTTTTGCGGGTAAAAGCTTTGCTCATTTTTTGTCTGGAATTGGGTATGGTTTTCAAGAGAACCATGGGAGTGTATAACCTTAATTATCGTTTCAAATTCCAAATGATTAAGAAAGAAAAAGAAACATGTGAATTTCAAATGGATTTTAAGAAATCTTTATGTTGGTGTTCTAATCAAAGTAATTTCAGCTCTGGAAACGGACTTGGTTTTTTGAGGTGACGTCTGAAAATGGGTGTAGAAAATGACATTTTTGGGTCTGAAATAGGGTCAGGATTTGGAGTACAGGGCGGCACACCCCCACTAAGATTTCTCAGGAGTACCCCCCCGGTAAAATAAAATGGGGTCTAATTCTCGAAGACAGTCGAGGCAGTTTTTGCAATTCCCAGATTCAGCTACATTTTGTTGGAATATGAAGTAGTTAATCCCGATTCAAAACACTACATTCTACGTTGCCTGACTTGCTGAGGTGATCAAGCATCTGGACTAGCTACGAATTAACATGCGTTTAACGTCCAAAAATATTACAGTTCCCGGCTACGAGATGAGAAAATGAACACGATATCTCTACTCTTTAGCTAAAGTCAGTATGGGTGACTGTCTGACTGTCGGGCATGTTACAAAGCATGTTTGCTAAATATTATTATGGCATTCGGGAGTAGCTAAGGGGTTTGTTGAATTGTACTCTCATTCAGCACGGCAACCCCACCCCCTCCCCCAAAAAACAACAACAACATCATCATCATCATCATCATAAAATTCTATTTACCACAACCCTTTCTTTGTATTTCCTGTCATGTTGAGTTGCCCGTTTGGCTGCTCCCCTTCTCCACTTATTCTATGTTCCCCAAAAAAGTTAGAGCAATTCACGTGCACAGTACATATTTTGGTTTCCGTTGTTAAGCAACCTATGAACACACCAGAAGACAACGTTGTCTTCGAGGATTAACCCCATGACAAATCTAATCAGTTACCTCTGCACAATTAATAGAAAGGTGAATTTCATTTACTTCTGCACACGAAACCCTGCTACGCGTGTAACTAAACAATTAAATAATCAGTCCCGCTTAACATTTTTGGAGAAAAATACTGAAGAAGTCATAATAAATTAACTAAACCTGATGGCTAATTTGTAAGCCGCTAACCATTTGTCCGGTTTGACCCAAGGTTCTTGAAAACCGAGTTTTCGGCCTGAGAAAATGGTTTGTGAGCTTAGTCGAGCAGCCACACGTCGATAGAAAGCAAGCAAAGTGAAAACAATGCTTTACATATGAAAGTGAGTATATGAAGTTTCATATATATGAACTACAATGTCTCACAATGATCTAATTGCTATACAGTGCCTTCAAGTGCAAGCAATCTTTGGGAGAAAGATTACACACAGCTTACCACTTCTCAGTGAACGGTTAAGTGCACAATAAGCTTGACCTTATCAATATCTGGCAAGGTAAAGTAATTTTGACCAAACTGCAAAGAAAGTTAGGTCCAGAGAAATTGTTAGTGTTGTACCACGTACGGTTTGACCGTGACTGTGGATGGATTCCTGATTCCATGGTGCTCATCCTTTCATCTTCCAAGTTGCTCAAACGTAATATCACGAGGCTTGAGTATTACCCTGAATCGAAACATTCCGCTGTTCAACTTCAAAGTTTCGTGGATCTTTTATCAACCGTTCGCATCTGTGTTTTAGGCCCCGCTTTGCCTTCTTATAGCTGGTACAAGTTAGCCCTACATCACAGGGGCAGTCTCTAAGTCCAGGCTGCAATGATAATGTCAATCCAGAAAGCTGAAGTTAAGGTCAATAATAAACACTTATGACTGGTTCCGACGGAAAAAGCTAAATTTTTTTCCCGAGAATCAATGAGGGAAACATTGAGATTGGAGGGAAACAAAATTAAATGTTTTCCAAGGAACCAGTCTTTAAGTGATTTGTTAGGAGAGCGTACGCTGTTGGGATAAAATTTCAAGCTATATTGACCAAGCGTGAGGTCAAGATGGCTGGATATTGGCCTGGTTATTTTTGAGTTTTTATTGACCAAGATGAATAAAAACGCCAAAAAAAGAACGAGGCCAATATTCAGTCATCAAGACCGAACAAGGTTGTTCAATAAAGGATTTATTATATGGGCAAAATTATAACCTTTCAGTTGCGGGACCAACGCGGAAAAACCCGAGGGGGCAAAATGGATCCATCTTGCCGGCTGCAAAATTTCACGATTTTTCCTTCGAGGACATGACTTTCCTGAAGTGTTTGAATCTGTCAGTTTTTTTGAGGATCTACTGGCTAATGCGTCGGATTCGACAAGGGGAAAAAAAATAAAAATAAATAAATTCACTCCCCGAAGAAAATATTGTTGTCACAACTTACCAGCAAAATAGGTCTACATCTTTGCCCTTTTTGCGGCCTTTTCTTGCAATACCCACTAGTACTGCTAGTTCTTATGCAGCATTCGTCTTTTTTACAGTCTATCCAATTTCTGCACTCTCTCTTGGGGTATTGGTATTGGTTCTAGAAAGGTATAAACAAAGCAACAGGAAGCGTGTTTGAGTCCTATAACACTGTAAACTAATACTTATTTAAAGTCAATTAAATACAGGTAATGAATTTACTTGCCGATGCTCTGATAGACAGGAAGACGCGTAACTAAGAAGGCGCGAATCAAACGTAAGTAGCTACAGTGTAACTACGCCATTAAAGTCATTTAAATAAACTTTTTGCTATCAATGCAAATTATTTCTTTATAACCAGTATCCTGTTCTAGAGGCTCAAACATTGGGGGGGGGAGCAAAGAGCAGTGAATAGGAACTGACTAACACCAAGCGTTGAGGGTGGGGTTACTGGGAGGAGGGCGAAAAAAAAAGGGTTCCCCCTTCTACCCCTCCCTATCTAAGCGCCTGGGACTAGCTACTAAACGTAGTTGAATTTGAGTTAATAATTTAAACAATTCATAATAATCCATATTTTCAGCCTTGTAGCCAAACATTTATCAACTGCGATTTGAGATCTATATTAAACTAACGTTACTGTAAACTGACTACAACTAAAAAACACGCTAAACGAGGCGCTGACACCTGAAGTGAGTGGCTACTTAACTAAGGTCCATGAAAATCATTTTAGTAAATTTAGAGGCGGAAATATGCCCTTGTTTCTTAGCTCGTGTGCAGGAGACGAAATTGGCTTCGCCCACCTTAATTAAAAAGGTAAAATTAGCCAAAAAGGTCGAAAAATAAATTCTTGCTTATTGGTTTCTACTTTTACAATATATGTAGTCCGCATCCATATTACGAGTTTTATTTCATTTATTTGTAACTAACTGTAAACTTTCCTTAGTTAATAGCCTTAGTCTTTATTTCTTGTATTTTGCACGCATTGTCCCGCCTCGAATAGCCTTGCCAGCTGCGGGCAATACTTTTGTAATTTTATTTGTTATTAATAAAGTTTTGTTGTTGGCTTCACCAGTTGAATGTGAGTGGAAGTGGCTGTGTCATGGCGAATTAAACATTTTTTGGTCGAAGCTGAGCTGAGATGATAACAAAACATTCTCAATTTTTTTTTCTTTTCATACTTAAAACTCTAAAACTACGATATAGAATGAATCTAACGAAACAAGGCATGATCTATGTATGGTCGGGCATTTTTCTACAACATTGGAGTTTAACTTGACAAAGTTGGTGCAGTTAGTTTTTTCAAGTGCTAGTTGCAGTCCCTTTCCTGGCCGTGAGAGCCAAAGACACTCTGACTTATAGTTGAGGGACCGTATAGTAATCACTGCAATTTCCATTTGAACGAAACAATTATTTTGGGGGGTTTTGTTTGATTCTTATTCCTCGTACGGTTTTACCAAAAAATCATAATAACCATAATGTGTGTTTTTCTTTTTTGGCCCAAAGTCATAGCACAACGAAGTCGTATCTTGGCCGCCATGCTAACATACACCCAACAAGTGATTACAAAATTTGTGCTTAATTTAGAGCGATTCACGCAATTTTATGGGCATTTGTTTTAATGAGAGAGATCTAAAAGTTGTGGTTATGATCGGAGTCGGTATAAACATCACGTAATAGTTGTGTTAAATGAAAACAATACAATTTTCTATAAAATGTGAAAAGACATACTAATAAATATTGTCAAATAAATTCTTGCTTCCTGCCAAAGTTTCAAATTTGCTGAGTTTCACGCTGCTTATGTATGGTCTACAGGGCAGAGGAAACTTAGCAGGTGTCGTCTAGTTCGAATTAATGCATTGGGCGTCAGTGGCTTTGTGTTGAAGCGCTCTAATGCTAACAGGGATATTGCTTCCCTCTGTCAATAATGTTTGCATATATTGACTTGCGGGTGTTTTAAGTCACTGAACCTCAAACAAAAATTTCATTAAAGTTTGTTAGCAGTCACCCTTCAGTCATTTTGCCATGCGAGCTTATTGTTCTTTGACCCACGCCTCCGCAATTTACATTGTCATAAAGTTGTTGCCTACGGCGATGACCGGATATAGTTTATGATATATCTGATACCGTGATATTCTCTCAAGGTAGTTGTTACCTTAAGTGATCAATTCGCAGGTGTAGCACTTGACAGCGGGCTTAAAAGTGGAAATATTACTTAGTCTTATCAATAAAGTCTTTAGAAATTAATTATTTTATTTTATTATTTTTTTGTTAATTACCAGGAGATATTTGGCGAACTAATTTACTAACAAAAAAACAGAAAGCAGCCAAAAACACGAATGAAGGACAGAATAGAGTCTTTAGAAATTAATTATTTTATTTTATTATTTTTTGTTAATTACCAGGAGATATTTGGCCATAGGGTGAACTAATTTACTTACAAAAAAACAGAAAGCAGCCAAAAACACGAATGAAGGACAGATTTTACACGAGTTCAGTCACCATATCACAGCTCTGTTTCAGCAAAATAGGACTTTGAACTGGAACTTAAGGAACATGGGAGGCCAAGACTATACTCTCTGTGTATCATGTAGATTAACCAAGCAGTCAAAGAAGTGGAATAGGTGATTAGTAGAGGTCATTTCCTAGCTTTCCAGTCGCGTGTGCAAAATAAATAATTCTGCCGTGTGCCTTTACTGTTTTTTTTTTTTTCGAATTTATGCTTCGTCATGGCTCCCCTGTCTTGACCCTCTGATCAGTAAACCGTTTACCGCTCTCTCACGTCTGTGATGATTTGAAAAACATCACGGATACTATCAATATTTCACATTGATATTCTATTAATATCTTACATTAGTATTTTAGTTCGCCACCAGCCGAGTTTTAGTCTTTCAAATATGTTTTGTCGGAAATCCATAAAACTCATTGAATTCAGCTGAAACCAAGCGAAACTTTTCTGCTTACAACGTTAAAACTGGCTTCAACATTATGCATGCGTGTTTCTGCCTGTGTACAAGTTTTGAGTTTTATCTGTGTAAAAAGTTGAGTTCGCTTTTTCGAGAGTGGGTGTTGAGAAAGATGTTCAATCGTGGCTATCATTAGAAGGATTTGATAAGCTGCTTCGACCCCACTCATTCATGCTGTGTAATGACCCGTGCAAAGATATGTCTTCATACAAACAAAAAGAGGTTCTCTATCTTCTTTGGCAGTTGAGGTATGCTAAGGTCAAATGGTGAAAATAATATTTTCTAATTTTGACGTATTAGTTCAAAGAATATAACGAAATAGATAAGGCAAATGGATAACCGCCTATTGAAACGCAAGCTAAGCGGGAGATTCCGGGACAATTAGATGTCATTTTTTCCCAATTAGTTTTTAAATGGCTCAACGGGAAAACACTAATGGAACGCTCGTGCACATTTAGATAGATCTCTTAGCGTTTCTGAATTTACTTTGCGAGCATTTTAGTTCAAGTAGAAACACACCCGCCATCGACATCACCCAACAAAACATTTGCGCAACCAAGAGCTTCAGGCCAACATGAGTAAACACATCATTAAGTTTTCTGAATAATTACTTACCCCCAACGCACTTGCTGGGTATATTTGCTCTCGCCATCTCTTAAGCTTTCTCATAAGCTTATGCTTTTTTTTCCGTCTCCTCCTCTTCTCTTCTCTTCTTCGTAATTTTTCCATGGAATGCACAGACACCACTCTTGTTTCTTGTTCGTGTGGACTGCCTTTGATGCTGACAACAGCCACGGGCGAAACTTTTGATTCAGTCTTGTTCCAGCCGTGTGGGTCAAATAAAATAGACCTCCCACCCTTGTTCGCCACGTGCCGTCCATGAGGCTTCGTGGACGCCTTCTTCTTCTGCTGGCAGAAGCTTAATGGTTACTTAATTGCCATTAAATTCTAAAGCCACCTCGGTTTTTACCTTAAAATGTGGACCTTTTAAGCATATTAAAACAAACCAAACTCAGAACCCACCGACAACATTTGCATGACATTGTTTTCAAAACCTTACAAACAGAAATACAAGAACATTTTACTTCATTGTTTTCATGGCGCTGATTTGCATAAGAAAACGTTAAGCCGATTGAGTTTCCTTGCAATTAAACGCTGTTTCGTTTAGCATGACTTATGCAAGCTTCGCATCAAGTAAATGAGTTAACTCAGCTATAACGTTAGTCGGTGACAGTCTGAGAGTGATTTGTTGACTGATTAGTAAAACTAAGTCGCTGACAAATGGAGTTGGGCCCAAATAATTTCTCAGCCCTAATCCTATAATCACAACTGGCATTCGGAGTGCCAAGACGACTTTTTGATGGGGAAGTGAGCGCATTCTATAACTTTTCCATCGGTAGTTTGTCCTGATTTATCTACTCGAATGTCTGTGCACTTTTAAAAAAGGTCAACGTAAGATTAAAACATCCAGCCACCGAAGAACAAGTGCAAACTGAGCAACAAAGTGCGCTGAGCTATGAGGCCACGTGTCGAGCCAGTTTCGCTCGTGCCCCAAGTAACCGGTCAACAAAACTGAATAAAATTTAAAACCATTAGTTAAGCTCAGACTCTCTTACCTTAAATGAAGTCACATTAGCGTAACAGTAGAATGCCCAGATGTGTAAGATGAGAAAAAATAAAATATGCCTGGTTATTTCCATTGGTGATGTGATGACCTGAAACTTTGTGAAAGAACTCTAGTCAAAACTGCGTTGGCTAATCTGCAACAAACATGAAAGTAACGCGCTTTTATTAAGAAAAATCCGTCACAGTCGATAAGTCTTAGTCACGTGTCCTCTACATGCCCACTTAGCAACCCAATGACCATACAGAATTAGCTTTCAATGCGGTTTTGTGGAGAACATCGATATTGTTTTTTGCTTGCGTGCGACCTTTGTTTGCAAACGGTGCTGTTTATATCTCCATAAACTGGGGAACACGACAATGTGAGTGAGAACGATACGATCACTTCGACACTATTTCTGAAGGAGCATCCGCATTAACTAGTGCTTGGCTAAGTCAATTGTAAACTGTTCATGTTTAGAAAAATAAGGAACAGGAAATATGGTCCTTCTTTGTTATTTGTGTGGAATTTAAACGTTCTCTATTTCTAAAGCCCGGAATCATAAAACACTTGGGGTACTCAGTTCACCATAAGGAACTAAAATGCTATACTGTAATAAGTTCGAGTACTGCACCAACTTGTACAGTGTGCTCGATTCGTTGATTATCAACGGAAATAGGGTAGATATACAAATAAAGTTAAAACGAGATGCTTGTGCTGTAAAGGAATTCAAACAATGCAGAAAGAATGATAAAATTCCAGTGGCATAATCCATGGAATGCTTGACTTGCTCATTGAAAAGAAAAAAAATGAACAGCTGACACTGACTAACTTCAACAGGGATAAAATTTGCATCTTCTTATTCTATAATTAAACCCTTTCTTAAGCTTTTGCTTATAAGACAAGACAATGAGCAAATGGAATGGGTACACAGACGGACTGACGGGCTGTGCCGGGGTTCCCTGTCTGAACAGTATTGCAGATCTTGCAACTGACTGAGTAGAAAGAGGCGAATGACTGCCCCAAAATACTCAGAGTATGTTTTATGGTAAACATTTCTGCTGTATTCAAGGCAATAAGCATTTTTTCCGACTATATACTTGTGAGAAAAGGTCTCGCATATCAGGAAATTCACGCCGGCTTTGACAACCGTTGGTACGGCATTTACCCTCGAATGACTGATAATACCAATTGTCGGCGAGTGACGACCACCAATCAAATGATGATGATGATAATAATGATAATAATAATAATAATAATACTGAATAATAAATAATCTACTCTTTTAACACGCGCAGCAATCACGAGGCGCTTATTAATCTTTAATATACTCATGCCTCCGCCCTTTTCACAAACATCATAATAATAACGATTGGCGATTGGCCCCACATCAAAGACTGGACCGAACGTAACTCTAAGAACATAATAGAGTTTGCCAACTTGCAGCTGGTTATTTCTAAAGAAAGTAATCCTCAACCAGGCTCTCAGTCAGAGCCTCTTGTTATGAATTTGTGTGGGCGTAGAGAATTAGTGTCAAATGAGTGAATACAGTAAACACCCGTAAGAACCTGTTGGGGCTAGAATGTGCCAGATAGGCCCCCTCTATAAAAGAACGTGTCAGTTTAGCTAAAATTTGAAACAGGTTCTTATTTTCCATTTTTTTTTTAATGTGTACTCTTGGGCAAATAAGATAGGTCGACACTCAGGATCCTCTATGAACGTTGCCTTATCGCGCCAACTGCAATGCAGTGGTATGCAGATTTTATATAAGGAAAGCTGAATACCACTCTTTAAATACTTATGTTTTTTCTTCACCAGAAAATAAGAACCTATATAAGAAGCTATATAACCTTATGCGCTAATTACTATTTATGTAAGAATCTGTTTGGGCTGAATACAAGTTGGGAAAACGCAGGTTCTTATACTCGCGAGGTTTAAGGTATTGTGTAATTGCAAATTTCTTTCATCGCAGATTTTCATCGTCTATTCCGCGGTATTCTCCACAGCAAAGAGAAATCGATACGAGTAGTGCTACGGGCTAAAACGTTTATGCCCATTCACAGCCAAACCGAACAGCTTTGCAGTTGATTCAAAGATTTGCCTTTTGACGACGGAAAAAATAAACACGTAGTAAAGTAGAATGAAAGAGGAGAGAGGTGAGCTAGTGTCATTTAACCATGAAAAATACACAGTTATAGTGCGTCAAAATTGAGTAACAGTTCTGCAAATCAAATACAGTAACAAGGCCTTCAGTTGTTCAGTTATTTTGGAGAATTATGGAGACTCAATTTCTTGAAGTGTATATCAGCGTATTACGAGCCTATAAGTTCCTAGTTGTATCAGTTCGTCTGCCCGAGAGAATGATATCGAAGCATTATAAATGTAGTTTCGAACTTTTTCGTCAAGGTCGGTGAAAGTTTAGAACTATCATGGAATTCAACCAACTCGTTAGTTCTGAAAATATGTGAATACTATAGAATTAAAACATGAAAGGCAATTGAGACATTCACTGATATCTTGAAATTATTCAGTAATAAACTTTTACTATATATCTCAGAATTTCTTCACTGCTCAGAAAGAGCGGGGACAGCCAGTTAGTTGCCTTGTAATTCACAAAGGAGATAAAGCCACGAATAATTGAACATGACCAATCAGACATTTTTCCCGCAATTGACTCTGAATTAAAAGTCGACGCGCAACAGTCGGGAAAGCCAAATAAACGTAAGAAACTAGTTATCAAAATTCTATTGTCTTAGTCACCTTTTTCACTTCTTAAAAGCTTTCCCGTGATTCCCAAAATCTCCCCTGATTAACTGAACTAATCCTCGAAGTATCCAAGCCAGTAATGCCATAAGCATAAATAAAGGATTTCTTATGGGTTTGAGTTGTGCCTTCCTAGGGATCTGCAGTCCTTAGAGAATAGGTTGGGCATTTGACATTAAAAACCTGAGAAGAAGGAAGAATGGGACATCATCTGGGTTAGGGTTTTGGGGGACAGGGGAATCGGAGACGAACACCACAATTACCGCAAAATCGCCGCAAACTGGTACCACAGTGTAATGGCGAAATTTCGACCGAAAAGCAAAAAGAAATCGATATATTGCATTCTGGACGTTTGAAAATACGTAATGTTGCGGTCGTTGAGGAACCAATTAACTCGAGACCGCATAAAAGAAAGTCAAAGCCAACACCGCAACACCTCACAAACCCTAATGTCCCCCTGAGTGAAATAGTCTAATCAGGTTATTTATTTGTTTTTTTTTTTTGTTTTTGAAGAGTGGACGAAAAATGTGTATAAATTCAAGAAATACGTAATCAACCGCCATTGTTGTTGTTGTTCTAGTCAGTGTCGTTCATGTTGTTGTTTTAGAAATTCATAGTATAAAGACGAGGTTTTCTTAGCCGGGAAAATTCCGCACATTTCGGGGATTTTATAACATTAATGCAGATAATTATGGCAGAGGCACTGAGGTAGATTCTTTGAATTTCTTTGGTGAGGTGATACTTTAAACTGTTTAAGATAATCTTTTGCCTTAGCCTCAGCTTTTGCCTTCTTAGCAAGTGCTAATCACTTTTCGATCAGTCTTTTTAAGGGCGTTGGACAGTAAGGAACAATTTGTCATAAACTACATTTTCGTTGTAGAATACTTTTAAGGTACCTCTCAATTTACATAGAATATAGCATTAACATTTTTGTTCCAATCACTCCGCAGTTTGCTTCTGTAAGTATTGCAAGGTAAAGTTATTAAGTTTAGGTTTGAGATAATCCATGTTTGCCCTGCCTCCTGTAAGTTATGCAATACTTTAAATCACTGCTTTTCCATCATAGCCGAATTAGTAATGAGCTCATGATTCACCTTTGTAGTTGCATAAAAGTACCGCAGTCCGCCAAACTTAGCTGTCCACTTAATTATTCGAAAGTTGGATAAGAGGCCAAGCACTACAGCTTTACAATAAAGAATTACACCCGTGGTAATTAGACTAGCTTTGCCATTCGCTCGTTATCAAAAACGCCATATAAGCATTTTTTTGTAATAGCATTTAGTTTTAATTTGCTTCACTTTCCGTTTTAGTGGGAGGTTGATTAGCTTCCACAGACAATGAGCATGGCTATGTCTCCTCATAGGAGGTGAAAATCACCGCCTTTTTAAAAAAGCATTACCAGTTTTGTGTCCAATTAACCTCGGCTTCCGCTACCGGAACGTGTATTCCAACCGGATTTTTACTAAAAAGGAATATCTCCGAGATAACACATGGGAAAAAGCAGTTAGAATTTTTACAAGACGTGTACAAAAGGTTTAGGTATATTTTCTTTTTGTTAGCTGTTGTTTTTACTCTATAATCCGAGGTGAAATGCTCGTAAGACGCGATTTAATTGCCGCGTGTACTTTTCTGTTGTTTAAAGGGCCTCAGACCAAAAGCAGACACTCCCGGGGAGAGAGGGGGAGGAGGGAGTGACGGGGATGCGCATCGTCTCGCTTTGGGGTGTAAATTACATATTTTGGTCTCACTTAGGGTGTTTGGGATGGAAAGACACTATATTTGCCCGATTCAAGTATCGCTTGGGACTCTGCGTAAAGATAATTACAAAAAATGCCACACCCACCTTGATCTCCCGTAGGGATTTCATTTGAATTTTCCGACGAGCGTCCCCATCACTTTTATATGGCAGTCTCCCCGCCCCCCCTCTCCGTCAGACACTCAACCACAGAGAGAAAAGGACAAAGATCATTTAACTGTTATTAAATGCAATGTACTGAAGTCTTAGCGTCGTGAACTCATGTTTTGAGTCAATTTCAGGAAACAATAGGCAATAGCCTTAGAGAAAGCTAACAGGCAACAATTTTTTATGCCTTTTATCAGGGTGGTAGTGGAGTTTATAAGATCTCTAGCCACGCCCATATGGTGACCTATTTCTCCGGTTATCCCCCCAAAAAAGCTAAACCGGGCGACGATTAAATTGGAATCTTGCCATTATGTCAAGCACAAAATGTTTCTTTTCTTGATTCATTCTACACTTTATATGTCCGCAAATATGGAACAGATTATTGAGCTGTTTACATGGGAGCGGATCATCCTGTTTCTAGCCGATCATCC